GGAGAGAAAAGGAGGGGGAGCAGCCCAATCAGAAGGGGGAGAAAGGAGGGGAAAGGAGAGACCCGAGTTGGGTCGTTTTCGACCCGTGAACCCTCAAATTTGACCCGGCTATATCTCCTTCATACGAACTCCGTTTTGGGTGATCTTGGTGTCCATGGAAAGCCCTTGACGGGCACTACATATCTGTATCATTATACTTCCCCATTTATTTCACATTTTTCCATTTCGAAGCTACAAAACCCAAAAGTTTTCCGGCGGGTTTAATCTGTTTTCGGTGATTCCAGCGAGTGTTACTGTCGATTACCACCACCAAAAGACTCCTCTCAACCCCTGGAGCAAGTACCAAGGCTTGGACGAAACGTCAAAGTTCGTTTTGGTGATGAATCGAAGAACACCCATTTCTAGGGTTTCCGGCGGGTTTGGATAAAATTGGGATGCTTCCCGGCCGAATTGGACTTGGCCCCAGGTATGAAAACTTCTCTCCTAACTGAGATATAATTGACTGTAAAATTTGGTAATTTTTAAAAATAGTTGAATTTTTCCGGCAAATCGGGGCGGCCGACCGCCAACCGCGGCTGTGCGTGCGGCGGCGGCCTGGCCAGTGGGCCGACGATGTACTTTTAAGTTCATTTAGATGCCTTGATTTCATAATTGATATCCATATGACGTAATTGGATTGTTGGACTTAGTTTCATTACGATACCTTATTGGATCAAAATATGAATCGACGATCCGACCGTTGGATCGTCACCAAACCTTAATGCGTGATAGAACATAATATTTGAGGATCATAGAAACTTACGGATCGGGAATCTAATGTATGGATCTTCACTAATTGGATTTCTAAGTTTGTAAAATTAAATATCGACCGCCACTTGAATTTTGAAATTGGCGGAGATCCGACCATCGGATCGTATTGAGATTTTAGTATGTTGTTATTTGAGCATAATGTGCACTTTAGAAAGTTATAAATATGGTTTCTATTGAAATGTGATTTTCATATATTTAGCCATAGACTTATGTTTATTAAACATGATTTGGCTTGTGTACTGATGATAATGGTGATATATGGATGTTTAATTATTTCTAGTAATGTGAATGATAAGTATGATAAATGTTATGACCATGTGATCTTAGAATCCTATTAGAAGTATTATGTGGAACTTATATGCTGGTGGAACGTATTAGTTGGTGGCCACGAGCAGTGAATATGGTAGGTGACTATGTTGTAATTATGGAGATAATGAGGTTTAGATATACCTAGTACATTTGGTATGAATCATATGCTTGTTTGGATTCCGTTGAGAGATGTTCCGGAATCCCTTCTATTCTGTGATTCCGTTGAGTGATGTTCCGGAATCATATGCTTGTTTAGATTCTGTTGAGTGATGGTCTGGAATCCCTTCTACTCCGCGATTCCGTTGAGTGATGTTCCGGAATCGTATCTAACTTGGGTTTCATTTAGCAGTTGTTATGCATTGTGCTCCGCGATTCCGTTGAGTGATGGTCCGGAATCGTATCCTGGATTGGATTCTATTGAGTGATGGTCCGGAATCCTTTTGTTGTCTTGGCTCTGTTATGTGGTTCAGATTCTGTTGGGTGATGGTCAGGAATCCCCTTTGGTATCTTGGTTCCGTTGAGAGGTCTGAAATCCCTATTTCAGAGAAGTAGGCTTGGCCTAAGGGTGTCACTCTAGCCTTAGTTATATATATTTGTGACAATGGTTTTGAGAATCTTGTGAATTGAGTTAGAAAAGATATTGGACGTCTGGGTAACTCTTTCAGGATTCTTTACGATTCGATTATGATTTCATCAAGTATGAATTTAGAAAATATGGGAATGATTGATATTATTTTGATCAGATTAATTATTTAATGTGGCTAAAGAATGGTTATGTGCTTCGTCGGTTCTTAAATATGACGTATGTTGTGAATGGCGATGTGATGAGACATAATGAATTATATGTTGGATGAAAGAGAAATCATGAATTTCATGGGGGTTTGTTATGTAGCATGAGTCCAGGAATTTCATGTTGTCGGGTTATAATAAATGATGGAGGAATGCTATACTTTTGTGCTTGAATTGAGTGTGATGAATATTTGTTTTTGTGAGTGTTGAACTACGAATGACTTGATCCCTAATGAGGGTACGTAGGCAGTCTAACGAAGTGGTTAGATGCAGCCATAAAGCTTACGAAAAATTATTGTGCATCTGGTTTTTTATTGATACTTTGTATATATTCGGGAGGCATGGTATGTTAGATATTAGGGTATTTGGTAGCGTCACGTGTCGATTCTGGATGTATGTCGGGATCGGGGCATGACACACTCTCTCTCTCTCTCTCTCCCGTCGACCCTCTCCTTCTCTTTACCCTCAGGAAAATAGGCCACGCTCCTGTTGCTGCTATAAGGAACTAAAGGATTTTGGAGAGTGATCTTCTACAACTAACATTCAAAGGCTTTTTCATAGCTTCCATCTAATCCACATTCTTCTAAAACACGAAATCGATATTTTATAAGTCCTGATAACATGAAAACATTCATCATGATGCCTGAACCGCAAATTTATTTATGCTTTGTATACTGCATAACTTGCTTGGTTATGCATTATTCATGCATACCCAATATTTTATTATGTTATTTTTGCTATGCAAAGATATATTTATTTTGTTATTTGATATTACTAGGTGAATTGTCACGCCTCTATACTGAGGAACGTACAAGATCGACTTGTGACATCATCACCTACATGTTCTTCTTTTATGCCTTGCCTCCAAGACATGACCAAAACACAAACCAATACTTTAACAACACAATAACTTTACTTTTATATCATGAATGCATCTAACATTTGCGTTAGACTACCTACGTACCCTAAGCAATGATCAAGCTATTCATAGTTCACCATTATCAACCCAACAATTTTCATGGCATCCCTTAGCAAGAAAATAACATAAAGTTAAACTGCCTACGTACCCTAAGCAAGGATCAAGCAATTCGTAGTTCACCACTATCAACCCTGATATTTTTCATGGCATCCCTTAGCAGGAAAATAACATAAAGTTCCAGAATCACTCCATGGAACTCACGAGCATAATTCACTAGATTCCAGACTACCTAATGAAACCATATATAATAACCAAGAATTCTATTTCATCGATCACATACATCACAATATTTTCCAACAACAAGTCAACAAACACAAGAGAATGATTGATGCAAAGAATCAAAGAAGCACCATATTAACTATGTTAATCATCCATTAATATCAAATATCACTTTGCTAAGATTAATGCACCAACCACCGTAAGGTCTAACGTCTTTCACTATTGAAATCCGAACATCCAGCATTATAACCCTAAGTTACAACAACAATTATAAACCTGAGTAACTTCTATGCATAAGAACCTTGGTTTCCAACTAACTGAACGAATATGAAATGAAATTCTTGACCCATTAAATGAAATCCAACTAGGAAGTCGTCGCCATCACGTATTGCCAAACATAACCGTAGGCCTAGTCTAATGGTGTAGGCACCCATTGCGGGTATACCAAGCATGATCACCCCTAAAATTGGTAAGTTCCTTCATCGTGGATATACCAAGTAGGGCCGTCTCCAATAGCTCTAGGTAGTGATCACCCATCAAGGATTTACCAAGCATGATCACCCCTAGCATGCATATGGTCCCCCATTGCAGATATACCAAGCAAAACCATAGGCATAGTCTAATTACACAGGCAGTGATCACCCATCACAGATATACCAAGCATAACCACCCCTAAAATCCTTATGGTCCCTTATAAAAACAAAATGTTGCAAACATATTTATCAATCTTAAACTATTAGGCTTTCAATTCCATTACGATTTTCAATTTCTTTCCATCGACATTACATAAGGTAATAGCAAAGGGCTTATTTTAGCTACGACACATGTACTATTCACCAAATCTCACTTTAGCCCCTACACTCTATATTAACTCAATTTACCACTTGCACTCTTTCTTCATGTCACACTTTAGCCCATACACTTTGTATTGTCTCACTTTAACACATGCATCCTTCCTCAATGTCCCACTTTTACCATAGTTCATCAAATAAATTAAAAAGCCATTAGTTGTGCTAATGTGGCATGGACAATTTAGTTTTTTTCAACTATGTTAGTAAGACCCATTGGTGAAAGAATGTGAGTTAAACTCAAACCAGGGTTTGATTTCTCCATACTAAAGAAAATAAAGAAGGAGAGAGCGATAGAGGTAGATTCTCCTTAAGAATCTCTGCAAAAGAACATTGAAATTGATTCGTAAAGTGAAATTCAACCTTCGCTTCTTATATTTCAACCTTCATTTCTTATATTCAACCTTCTTTCTTATATTTTTCTCTTAATATGGGAAATCAAACCCTAGTTTGAGTTTAATCCACCTCCTATTACCCTTGGGTTCCACTAACATACCATGTCACATGCCACACAACCAACTTAGTTGAAAATTTTAAATTGTCCATGTCACGTCAACACAACTAATGTCTCTCTTAACTTATTTGTCGAAATAGAGTGAAATGAGACATTGAGGAAGAATACATGTTTTAACGTGAGACAATATAGAACGTATAAATAAAATGTGACATGAAGGAAGAATGCAGGTGATAAAGTGAAAGAATATAATTATAACGATAAAAGTAAGATATTGCGAAGAATACAAGTATCATAACTAAAAAATAATCCGAACAAAAGATTGCATGAACTTATAAGGTTTGACATTACTCAAATTATGTGTCTTTTTTTCCCAAGAGTTATGAGTTGAAAATCAACTGAAAGCAGGTTACAAGGATTCTTTTTCTTGTTACACAAGTAACCTAGTTTGGTATGAGGTTGGTGTTCGATCCGGTTACCTCGTGGTGTCAAAATTGGTTCAGCACTGCTGGCACCAAATTAACGACCTCATTTATTTCATTAATTTTTTAATTTTTGTTTAATATCAACCTCATTTTTTTTTATTTTGAAAAAAAAAAAGAAAAAAATCAAAGCTCCCCTGTTCTTGGCCACCCGCCACCCGCCGCCACCTCCTCCCGCCCCGCCCCCATCAGCTCTGCCTTCTTGCTCGCCTTCAAAATCCTAATCGAACACATTCTTCGTTCCCCCCGATCAATTGGTCGCATTTTTTTATTATAATATAGAAATGAACAGGTAAAGGCTCGATTTTCACAATGAGAATCCGTTTGGAACCGGGGCATGATTCAGGTACTCCCTCTCCGTCTCTCTTTGCATTACTGTGTGTTTGACTGCCGATAATCTGCAGGAAAATGAAAGAATATGCAATTAGGATTTGAATTTTCCTTGATAGTTCATTTTCCTTTGTCATTTGATCAATTTTGCGGGAAACACAGAAAAAAGAAGTCTTTAATTTTGTTAATTTTTTTTGGTATTAATTTCTCAATTACGATTTTATAACCACAGAGTATATGATCCAATGAGTTGGTTTTTGTTTTTTAAATTATTTTTAAATTAATTAAATGAATACATATTGAATTGTGGTTTATTTGATTTGTAAGGAGGTGAAGGGGACCTGGAGAAGGGGCTGGCGCAGCCCTCGACCCCAGGAGCTCTGTCGGAGCCGCCGTCGTCGCCGCACCCGTCGAGGCCGGCCCTGGTGTTCTCCAATTCCAGCAAGGCCCTACTGGTTTCAAATTCCGGCAAGGCATTGCTGGTTTCAAATTCCGGCAAGGCATTGCTGGTTTCAAATTCCGGCAAGTCTCTGGTCGTGTCGAATTCCGGGAAGCCCCTTGATCAGTTGGGGAGGAAGAAGTATGTGAAGCAGGTGACCGGGCGCAACAATGACACGGAGCTTCACCTGGCTGCGCGCCGCGGGGATTTGGCAGCGCTGCAGCAGATTCTAGCGGAGATTGACGCTCAGATGGTGGGATCCGAGTTTGATGAAGAGGTGGCGGAGATTAGGTCTGCCATTGTGAATGAGGTGAATGAGTTGGGAGAGACGGCGCTTTTCATAGCGGCGGAGCAGGGGCATCTTGCTATGGTGGAGGAGCTTTTGCCTTACATGACGGAGGAGGGCATTTTGTTGAAGAATCAAATTGGGTTTGATGCATTGCATATTGCTGCAAATCAAGGGCACCAAGGTAGCCATAAAGTTAGATAATTCGAGCCCAAATTTGAATTTTGTTCTTGTCCTTCTTTCAGTTATATGATATCTATGTGTTTATAAGATGTTGAAATGGAGAAGCTTTTAGTGTGACAGTCATTACTATCACATGGTGTTACTAATCCACATGTTGTAGTATTGGTGAACGAAAGATCAGTTGTTTTTAATTCCCTTGTCGAATTTTTGAGTCCAGATTTGGATTAGTGTTGTGTTATGTCCATAACAGGTATAGTTCTTTCTGAGAATGTTCTGTTTTGTTTTAAACTTTTAGTTCAGTCACTGTGAGTTTTTTCTGCTCTGTTATTGGTGATAATCGAGTTTCAATATCGTGTCACCTCAGTTCAATAACTACTAACTAGCTTTATGCAGCCATTGTCCAGGTGCTCTTAGACCATGACCCGGGGCTTAGCAAAACAGTTGGGCAGGCAAATGCGACCCCTCTTGTGTCTGCAGCTACAAGAGGGCATACAGCAGTAGTTAAAGAATTACTATCCAAAGATTCAAGTTTGCTGGAATTAGCGAAATCCAATGGGAAGAATGCATTGCATCTTGCTGCACGGCAGGGGCATGTAGAAATTGTGAAAACTTTGCTTGGAAGGGATCCACAACTAGCAAGAAGAACTGATAAGAAAGGACAAACTGCTTTGCATATGGCAGTAAAAGGTGTTAGCAGTGAAGTTGTGAGGTTGATTGTCGATGCGGATCCAGCTATTGTCATGCTTCCAGACAAGTTCGGCAATTCAGCATTGCATGTGGCCACCAGGAAAAAGCGAGTAGATGTATGTATTTCCATTGTTGGATCTTCAAGTTTTGACATGTCAATATAATCTTGCTCTATGATTGGATACTTAATATTGACTTTATTCATTTTATCTTAATACAAGTTCCTTGTTTTGCCGATAAGTTTTTTTGATTGATCTGCAATTAACTATTAACTGAGTTTGAGCTTGGTTTACATCTTTAGAAATTTAATTTCTCATTACGCTTGCAGATAGTCAATGTGCTATTGCTCGTTCATGACACAAATGTGAATGTTCTAACAAGAGACCAGAAAACACCCCTTGATATAGCCGAAGGACTTCCATACTCTGAAGAAATCACAACAATTAAGGAAACCTTGACTCAATATGGTGCTGTCCGAGCAAATGAACTTAACCAGCCACGGGATGAACTTAGAAACACCGTGACAGAGATTAAAAAAAATGTCCATAATCAGCTTGAACAAGCCCGCAAAACCAACCAGAGTGTAACTGGAATTGCCACAGAGCTCCGGAAGCTACAGAGGGAAGGAATCAATAATGCCACTAACTCAGTCACAGTGGTTGCTTCACTCTTTGCAACAGTAGCTTTTGCAGCTCTATTTACACTTCCTGGTGGTGATCTTGACTCCGGGGCAGCTGTTATGTCAATCCAAGTGTCATTTAAAATTTTCATCCTTTTCAATGCTGTTTCACTGTTCGCATCATTGGCTGTTGTTTTGGTACAAATCACCCTCGTCAGGGGGGAGACAAAGGCGGAGAGGAGGGTTGTGGAAGTGATCAATAAGTTGATGTGGCTTGCCTCTGTCTGCACCACAGTAGCATTTATTTCTTCATCATATATAGTGGTTGGGCGGCATAATGTGTGGGCTGCAATCCTTGTCACAGTTATAGGGGGACTTATAATGGGGGGAGTTATTGGTACCATGACATATTATGTGGTGAAGACCAAAAGGATTCGTAGAGTGAGGAAGAGGGAGAAGATGTCGAGGATTGGAACCAACCATTCCGTGCATCACTCAGAGTCCGATTCAGAAGTGAACCGTGTTTATGCCCTGTGATCATAGTCTGGCTGGAACTAGCCTCTGGTTCTATGCCACATGGAGAAGAAAATCAACGCAGGATTAGCTGATTCCAAAAAGGTTCTAAGCTATAGATACAAAATTCAGGGACCTTGTAATAGCATCTGTGAATTGACTAGTTTGAAAGTGATTTTCTGGGTGTCTCAAGGATTAAGAAAATTTTCAGCAAAACTGTTGATGTCCTTGAATCTTCAAAGGCAGCAAGTGAGAAATATCATCTGTATATTATATGGCATATACATGGTACCAGTCCATTTGTAACTTGTATAGGTTTTTGTCAGTGGTGAGTTGCTATTCGCATTCTAGCAATAGGTAGTGACTGATTAGTTGCTCAAAACTTTGAACGTCACTTTACTTGACATTAATGTCTGATAACTGTCAATGTATCTGATATGTGAATAAAACCTGAAGCATTATATGTGCATAGAATCAGATGGTTGAGAAAAGAATGTATTAGGTCGATGTTGCTTGAACTTATGTATAAACAGAGTTTGCTGTGGATGCCTACGGTACAGGTTTCCGTTTCTACTTTTCCCTCATCCCATGTTTTTTCCACTCTAAATTGAAAAGTTGCTATATTGTATTGGGGACTTTGCTTCTACTACTGATGAGGGATTGCTTATGAATGCCGTGACTGTTGAAGTTATTGTCCATGCAGATGAGAGAAGCAGTGCTCCAATTAGAGGATTCGAGATTTTGACAATGTTTCTGCAGAAGGTACCATTTTCCTTCGTCTCTCTTCATATTTTCTGGTCAATTTTGATAGAACTCATCAAACTACTGACCTTTTGGATGATTCAATATCAAATAGAAACAAAGGGTATGTGATTTGCACAATTTGATCGATATGCAACTATAATGTAGTGAGATTAGTCGCAAATAACAAGTTTTCGACATTTGGAAATTTGTGAGTTGATTGGTTGAACACACCAAAGATCTAATGGCATTGTAGGATCATGTTCTTTACATAGAGTTCACGTACGATTCTATTTTTACTTTCTCCCGACCTCGACCCTATTGAAAAGCTTGTACGTTTTCTAAAGTTTGTTGCTCCCTTCCATCTTTCTGAGTTACCAGGATAAAAAAAAACGTTTGCTTCAGTGTAATAAATCTGGCGGATGACGATCCCATCGCACGACTGACCTCTTTTCATACACTGGAAGACTTCGACATCCTTGACTTGTTCGTTAGCCGAAGCTGGTAGCCAAGGGCCAAGGCATGCTTTCTTCCTCTAATTGACGTCTCTATCATCGTCAATGCGCGTTAGGACTGCGCGTAGGGATGACCCCATTTGATTAAACACTTGTTTAGGTTGGGATGTATCTCAGTGAACAAAAAAACAATGCAGATATTCTGACGTCGATGTCAAGCAATCCACTTCATGGAACAGATAATCCATTATATTACGTATATTTATTCGTCCGCTAATAAAGATTGTGATTGGTTGGGATAACAAGAAGTGCTTTTGCTTTTGTTTTTGGTTGAATTATTGCAGGCTTTTGCTTTTCTGAGAGGCTAAGTACCGGCTTTTCTGAGAGGCCGAGTGCGGGTCTTTCATCAGCCATCAGAGGAACCAGGTGCATCACGCGGTGCAGAAAGTCTTGAATCCGCGTGACTGTGGCCTCTACAAGACAGTGAAGCTACTCGGTTGCACACTCTGTTCACTGCAACTGTTCCTTTTGTCGAAGATTTTCCTTTTGGGAAGATCAAAAGCCCGTATAGTAACGTTTGACAGAAAAAGTTAAAAGTGATTTTGAATTATGAAAGCACAACTTTTTTAGGAGACGTTTGATTGAAAAAGTTAAAAGTGATTTTTAGATTATCAAAGCACTACATTTTTAGAAGAACTTATGAAGTGCTTCTCGGGAAGTGCTTCCAAATGCTTTTCATGAAAGACATGAATACATTAGCATGCATTAGGATGTAGTGCTTCATAATGATTCAACTAGAAGAACTTACGAAGAAAAAGTAGAATTTTGTGCGCTTTTTTTCGCAAAGCACTTTAGTTTTGAAGCTTCAACAATTTTTTGTTGTGCTTGTAAACAAAAGCATCGCAAGCGAAAATGCTTGTAAGCAAAAATACGTACTACAAAGCACTTCTACATTTTACATGTTTCTAGCCATTCACATAGCATCGTCTCAAATTTTATCAGGAAATTAACGTCGTTTCCACGAGAAACTCAACAAAACATATACTTCTCCATAAAGCATTTCTGTAACTCGGAAAACCCTAATCCATATCCACGAAGCGTTGAGAAAGAAAAAAGCAAAGCATGACTTTCTTTGTGCGGTATAGCTATTAGCTAGTACCGAAAAAAAGAAAAAAGAGGTTTAAAGGATAAAGGCTAAAATTTCTGAAGTTGGTTTTGGTTTCAACGTCTACCCAGAAAGCTAAAATCCCAAAAGCCAAAAATATCCATGCTGGCTTTGCATGGGCTTATGAAAGCGTTTTTCAATTACTCAAATCTTATACTTGAATTTAAATATAAGGCAAAATATCTCAAATGCACATAAGACTTAAAAACTCATATTTAACTGAGACTCAAATTTGAATTTCAATATGAAATTTGAGTCTAAGGTGGAGCCTATGCCAACTAGGAAAAAATGTTATTCAACCAACAAAAATGAGATTTGAGTTTTGAGTCCAACCATCTTCACTGCACATAAACTGTGAAAAACTCAAATACAAAGTTTTAAGTCTAATGTTTTCTCCTCCAATGTAAAAACTCAAATCTTAAGACTCATTTTGAGTTTTAAGAGTCGAGTCTTTGCATTGGAGAATAAAACGAAAATACATAAATCCACATCTTTTGAGACCCAAATATAAGAATATAGGTTTGAAGTTTGAGTTTTTGCATTGAAGATGTAAAACTATTTTATAATGCCAATTGATTTTATAATAAAACATCGACTTCTTCACTAACTCATAATAACTCATAATTAGAAAAGAAAAAAAATTATGAAACGTTGCGCATCAGAGTTACTCTAGCCATAGACTTAGAGGTCATGGATGGTCAAATTTCCATACCTTGATGCCAAAAACACGATTGGTCACTTTCCAAAACCTGTAAAAATCTAAGTGGAAATGAGAGGGTTAAAAATGAAGGCCACCTGCTTTGCAATGAAGCCGGCTTCTCCTTTGGCTACACACAAAATCGCCCCTCTTTCTTCTTCTTCTTCTTCTTCCATCCCTCGGCAAAGAGATTTTCAGTATGTTGATAACACAGTTCAATACATCGGGTATCATAATACAAATGGTTGAATACTTGAAAAAGAAAATTTTCAATCACTTATATTATAATATTTAGTGTACCGTACTGCCGTATTCCGACCACAAAAAGAATTTCTTCCTCTAGTAAATCTGTCAACGTCACCTTTTGATAAAGAGTTGGATTTAAGTGGAGCTCCACTCGCTCAACCCTCCAATTGTTGGGCTCTCACAATTCGCACTTGAAACTTTCATAGTTTCTGGGTCCTTCCAAGTAGTAAGAAGTTCTGCTGTGAGTTCTAACAACACCCCAACTGCACAAAACTAGTAAGTCCATGCTTTTGTTTCATAAAGTTCAATTTGTTAAAATTTAATTTAGTATTAAATGAGTGACCTTTTTGGTATATACTTAGTGCCTAACTGTAGTTTTTAACTTTTATTGGATGTCTAGATAGATATGTAATTAGGCATTATATATATTTGATTTCCCACTGCAGATACGGTTTCAACTTTCTTCATTTTAACTTTCGTTCTCGTTTTTTGCCCTCTTGTATTGATGTTTGGATCATGCAAAGAAATGTGTATAGAAAGTTAGAGAGAGAGAGAGAGAGAGAGTGTGTGTGTGTGTGTGTTTGAGAATTGGGATTTAATTTATTTGAATTATTTTGGGTGCAGGAGGAAGATGTCTGGGTGTGTGTTGTGGTTATCAAGGAACCAAATTTACAGATTTCCCACGTGCTAACTCATGGAAATTTGATCTTCTAGGTTGCCTTGTCTTCCATGGTGAAAAGAGAAAAAAAGCTTCAAATGTTAGACATACAGAAATGGAATTGAATACAACGGAAGCTCCGGTGAGGCAGCAAAGCTTTGCTGGGAAGAAGATGCCTAAGCAGTTGACAGGAAAGCGCGACAACGGTCCCTTGCATTTGGCAGCTAGAGCAGGAGATTTGGGACTGGTTGTAGAAATCATGTCTAATTGTGGGGAGGAGGAGTTGAATGAACTGTTGTCGGAACAGAATTATGCGGGTGAAACCGCCTTGTATCTGGCGGCTGGTGGTGGATATGTTGGTTTGGTTAAGGAAATGATGAAGTACCATGATGTTGGTGCAGCTAGTATCAAAGCTGGGAACGGCTGTGATGCATTTCACATTGCTTCCAAGCAAGGGCACTTAGGTAAGTCTCTATCGATGTTTTGAATTTTTGTTAACCCTAATCTGTACTTGTTCCTTGTGAATTGCTATGCATAAGCTTAGACTGCATGCTGTAATCACAAAAGAAAATCTGGTTTCTTGCGTATACAGTTCGTACCTCATTTGATTTGTGAATTTTGTAGGAGACTAGGAAAGTTTTGTAAACCATGATTGAAATCGATAACATGTAACTTATCAAGCGGATCATCTTAAATTGTTCTTTTAATGTTTCAGAGGTACTGAAGATCCTCATGGAGTCGATTCCAGAACTTTCAATGACCGTTGATCGCGCAAACACCACGGCATTGCACATCGCTGCAGCACAGGGACACACTGAAGTAGTAAGTTTTCTTTTGGAGACTGGTTGCAGCTTGATGTCCATAGCAAGAAGCAATGGGAAAACTGCCTTGCATTCTGCAGCAAGGAAGGGGCATTTGGAGGTGGTCCAGGCCCTCTTGAGCAAAGATACCGGATCTGCAATAAGAAAAGATAGTAAGGGCCAGACAGCTCTCCATATGGCAGTCAAGGGACTGAATGTCGAATTGGTGGATGAGCTAGCGAAGGCAAATCCTTCGTTGATAAACGAGGTAGATAACAAGGGAAACACTGCCTTGCACGTGGCAACCGGGAAGGGTCGAGCTCAGGTAATGAAAGTTGTTAATTTGATTTATAATATGCAAATGAAAATCGAACTTCTTTAAGAGAATGCGTGTTACTGAGTTTTTGATCATCACTTAAAGTTGAATTATCATGAATATGTTATTCAATTAGGCTTTGGAACGTGGTATTAAAATGGTTATTTGAATCAATCATATATTTAAGCCCCAGAGATTGGACTTTTACAGATTGTTCGAACGCTGTTAAGTTATAAGGGAGTGGCGAAAACCATCATTAACAGATCTGGAGAATCTGTTTTTGACACTGCTGAGAAATCTGGGCACTCAAAGATTGCCACCGTTCTAGCAGAGCATGGGATTCAAAGTGCCAAATCCATGAAGCTGCCAACTTTGAACCCAAATCGAGAACTCAAACAAACTGTAAGTGAAATAAAACATGAGGTGCATGATCAGCTTAAGCAAACGAGACAAACAAGAAAGAAAGTGCATGGAATGGTAAAGCGGCTCGGCAAAATGCATTTGGAAGGGCTTAACAACGCAATAAACTCCACCACAGTTGTGGCTGTACTCACTGCCACTGTTGCCTTTGCTGCAATCTTCAGTGTCCCGGGCCAATACCCTGACCCTAAAAAACCTCTTCCTGATGGATTCTCTCCCGGAGAAGCAAACATTGCCCCCAAAACCGAGTTCATAGTCTTCTTCATCTTTGACTCATTTGCTCTCTTCATATCGTTGGCTGTTGTGGTGGTTCAAACTTCTATTGTTGTCGTAGAGAGGGAGGCAAAAGAGAGGCTAATGACAGTCATAAACAAGCTAATGTGGATGGCTTGTGTGATGGTTTCAGTTGCATTTCTTGCACTATCATATGTAATTGTTGGAAAAGAAGAAAAATGGCTGGCTGTTGGAGTGACAGCTATAGGGACAGTGATCATGGGAATGACACTAGGAACAATGTGTTATTGGATGGTTGTGCAGCGCGTTGAAGCATCTAAATATCGTTGCTGCATTCGGAGATCATCGCTGAGCATCCACTCACACTCACACTCGAACTCAAACTCACACTCTTGTTCTTTCTCAGTGATATCGGATTCGGAGCTTCTGAACACCGAGTTTAAGAGTAAGAAAGTTTATGCAATTTGAGATGAAGATATCTTACATATAAACTGCCTGGCTCCTAACATGATTTTTGGGGCCTTATGTATATCGATGTAACATAATCTAAAGTATTCTCAAACATGTAATGGCCGAATTCATTAGAGTAGTTTTCCAAATGAGATGGGGTAATAAGTTTTTTGAGTTCTGTCATGTAGTTTTTGAATTGGATGTACCAAGAACATGTAATGTGGTGTCTCATTCACTTGCTAGATTTCATTGCGAAGACTGACGCATGAATTGGATGGGATAAAGACTGTTATCATGGCTAGAGAAGCTCCAATCT